AGCAGATAAATGTACTTTGAAATGATATAGACTGACAGCCAGATCTAAGATTGAAATATTCCTGGTGTGTCTGAATTTTTGTTCTGCTGGAAAATGTTACAGAAATAGCGCACATACACAATATTGATACTAACATCTGTTAAAAAAAGGATGTCTGTTTATTGAGCAAACCTATAAATGCATGGCCCATTCATAACAAGTATCAAAACTTTCAGATGTGGTGCACAATAATACAGTGGGGGATAAACGCATAATTATGTGAAATATGTACTTTCATATTGTTGCAAACAATGGTTGGACAAGCTTTACAGAAAGTTGGGGGGCAGGGTTTGGGGGAAGCATTCACCCTACATTTTATTATTCATTTATTACAAAGATATATTTATTACCAATTTTTTTATTTTTATTTGGACTTTTTTGTTAAATTTGTAGCTTAGGATACCAAGGTCAAAAGGCCAATGTGTAAGAATGAAATTTTGCACACATCTCCTTTTAAGACCCCAAATCTATTATAAATGTAGGCCTAAAAATTTTGCCCATCTTTTGTGTTCTACTGGCTCCAAAATGGCACAAAGTGCTTGGACCCCTATGGTTGCCACTTGCCACTCCTTGCAGTTCCTGTTAAGTCCACAGAACTCAGCGTGTTCTGCATCAACTTCAGATAAAAAAAAAAAAAACTTGATCGTCTTGGTTGCTAATAATAATTTATACATTAACCTTTTTTTGGCCATCATTTAGAAGCTAATGAAGAAAGAAATCTGAACATGTGAAAAAAGAAAAAACCTTCATTGCTCAAAAAACGTGGTTCTTAGTAAAGTTTTTCTTAGTTTTTAGTAAAGTTTTGTAAAGTTAGTCCAACCTTGCAACATGGTGTGGGCAGTATGACAGTATCTTATTATAATCAGTTACATCACAATAATAAGCTTTTCTGAGCACATTGTAAATATCAGCACTTACAAACACTGACCACCTGCATAAATAGGCCAGTTCAGTTTAATTTAGATTTAGTTCTGTATAAGAAACATTGAATAAAAACCACTGCATTCAGTTTCCGATAGTATCTTTTATTTAGTATTTTGTATTTAGTATTTTGTCTGCTCCAACTCATCGAGCCTGAGGAAAAACTAAATATTGTGATACATATTATGTATCATAATATATGTTTGCCATATCGCCCACCAGTACTATGAAAGATTGCATTTGTGGGTGAACCATGGATAGGCCGTGATAATACTGTACAATCGTGTTAATTTTGGGTTTAAAGCCTCGTAAAAAAGAGAATGATGTGTGGAAAAAATAATAACGTCTACTGACGTCTAAACATATCGTTACTATTATACTTAGGAATTTTATTTCACTTCTGTGGGTTTGCATTTTGATGATGGCTTGCTAGCTCTCAGATGAATTTACAGAATAAACTTTTTTTCATAATTGGAATTTGCGGCGACTTGAAGCCGACTCTTCGTGACTTTCCTCGCCGTCTTTTGGGGCGACCGAACGCTGAGCGGTTTGAGTCACGAAATGCTTTTCGCATCTCCCTATTGAATAATTCCCTGCCGCTGTTTCTGATGAGTCTGAATGGGCACATATGCTCCAGTAATTTGGCAATTAAGGAAAGCTCACATTATATTAGCAGGCGACGTGCCAGGTATTCAGATGGCAACTCTTTAGTCAATAAATATTTCGGGGGAAAAAACAAACACATTACTGAAGCAAACAGGCTTTTTTCTGCCTCACTTAAGAACATGAATAAATAAATAATAATGTCTGCCATTCAATTACCGCTATCTCAGCACCAAATGAATATTTTCCCAAGGTATCACTGAGGGAACAGGTGAGCAGGAAATTAATTTGCGGTCTGCCTTTTTCCAAACAAGTTCTATTGTTGTACTTTTTTCTTGCTGTATTTATCTCCAGCGAGCACGATGGAAGCCTTCAGTGGCACACTTCAGTTTCAGTGGCTGTCAATACTGCTTTTATTTTCATATTACTGAAAGCGAAAATGAACCATAATGTACTTGGTGGTAATGCACAAAAGAAAGGAGGTGAAGAAAAAGGGCATCTCAATGTATGAAGCTGTGGAGTAGTTGTGCTGACCAAAGGAGCGGTCACTACTATGAGGAAAATGAGTTATGTCCAGATGGCCTGCTTGGCTGTCATATTGAAAAGCATAAAGTGTAAATGAGAAAAAAAAACATCCTGAGAAAATGTTTAGCTTTCCAGACCCGTCATAAAGCTAATACATCCAATACATTCCATCATTCACAATCCTCTTCTGTCCAAAGTCTTGCTGCTTTGCCTGAATGTACAGTAGGGCTACACAATATGGATAAATGATGTGATAAAATTGTTGGAAGCACAATAATTCCAGTTAGGGTTGTTGGTTGTTTTTTGGCTTTTGGCCTAGCAGCACTCATTATTACAGGCTAATAGACTTAACCTCTTTCTGAGCTTTTTTCACTTTCTTTTTACAGGCCTTCCAAAGTTCCTGCCTACAAAGTACAGCTTTGCTTGAGCTACACTGTGGAAGAAATAAGGTAAAACTGGAGTTCTCTCAACTTAAGCCCTGTTCACACTTGGTAGTAGCATCTGTCTTGAGTGATCTGATCACAAATGGATAGCAAGACGTATATAAGTTCATAACTGGCATTTCCGAGCATTTGGAATGCATCTCCAGTGACGTGATCAGATTTCGTGACTGGATGACTTCAGTCTCTTGCTGCATTTGTTGTTGGATAAAAATGTCCCGTGCTTGTTCGTGTAATTATAGGGGCTGTTACGATGGCTTAGATTGCATGGATTGCGAAAGCAAGTAAACAAACAAGAGAAGACACTATGTAGCTACTTTCATCTCTGCCATGATGAAGCAGGTGATTTAAGACGGGCCCTCGACACTGTCGGGGACGCATCAAGAAGCTTTAGAGTTCATACTACAGATGTTATGTGGTTATGTGTCCGTAACCACGTCCAAAGGTGGTTAGAGTAATCAGATCACAATGTGTCTCCAGTTTAAAAAAAAAAATAAAGAGGGCTCCCGAGTGGCGCAACCGTCTAAGCGTTGGCCCCTGTCATCAGGAGATCGCGAGTTCGATCCCTGGTGATGCTACAGCCGTCCGTAGCCGGGAGTCCAAGAGAGTACAATTGGCCTCGCTCTCTCTGGGTGGGCAGGATGGCCCCTCCTTCTCCCCCCATCACTTAGCGCGATGCTAGTCAGCGCAGGCGTCTGTTAGCTGACGTAACAGATCTGGCGGTTGGCGCTTTCCTCCGAGCGCCTCGAACAGAAGCGGTGGTTGGCTTCACAGGTCTCGGAGGAAGCCTGTGTTAGCCTTCACCCTCCTAGCGTTGATAGCATCGTGTGATTGGGGGAGTCCTAACTAGCGGGTGGAATTGGAGACGACTAAATTGGGGAGAAAATCGGGTAAAAATTAAAAAAAAAAATATATATATATATATATGAGCTCAAAAAAGCCTTAAAATTTTAAGTTGACCTTAAAGACGCAGTACAAGAGGCAGTCATACATGTCATGACTTTCAGGTGATCCTAGGCTGCTTAGATATGTCATCAGTTGATATTTAAATATCATTTTTTGAATTTGGCCTTTTTCAACAAAGCTTGCCAGAAGTATCACTTCCTAAAATTATTTTTACTATTCAGACTTACTGTCTTGCTTACTGTCAGCTGTTTATAATCAATTACCATTTAGTTTATTGTCCTGTCGCACTCCGAGGAGCTGGACGCTGCCACAGAAAAGTGCGAGTTAATTTCCAGCAGACTGTAATCTCGCAACTTGTACCACAACAGCGATTTAAAAAATGAGAAATTGTGCAGCCCTAATGTACATAAGACAAAATGCTCAAAAACCATGAAATCATAACTGTACAAATACCCACTGAGCAACTCTTTACAATGTATACCATAGTACAATCTTTTCCCATTCTTTCTCCTTCATATAACTGTAAATTGTTCAGTAACTGACCTCTGTTATGCTGTAAGTTGAACCAGATAGCAGAACGAGTCTGCTTTGAAGTGCCAATATCACCGACATAGCTATTATTGATAAACTCGATAAACTTTACACAGGCGTATGTACATGATATTTGGAAAGATATGACAAAGGGACTGAAAAAAGCATTTATTCTAGTCTTTGAATGTCTGTGGTCTTCAAACAATGACTGAAGTGTTACATGACCTCTATAAGACCTGTTGTGGCTTAATGGCAGAACAAAACATCCACCTTGGTCAGCCAGGATATTATTACGGACGTCTACACGTATAGAAACCATGTTTTCCCACAATAATCAACCTTACCCACCACCATGAGGTTACATAACATATACTGGTACCAACCACTCTCGAAAGTAACCCGCATAGTGCTACACTAGGCTCAAAACACTGATACATTCTACATAGTGAGGCTCCGGCGCATCCAAAAGCCAATAAGGGAATGTTCTTTACTCCATACTGATGAGCATTCACGTACACATCCTGTGCTTCAGCAGCTAAAGTACTGCACATGGTCATCAGACCCGGTCAAAGATGCAAAAAAGAGTGATGGGGGAGCACGCAGCACCTCCTGTTGATATGGATATTCCATAAAATAGTGAGAAAAGGCGGCCTCAGGATTCAGTATCTCGGCAAACGTAGAAAAAGAGGGGCACATAAACTCATTGCCAATGTGAAGGTCATTACATTTCGCCCATTGGTCCATTCCATGTGGTTTTGAAGTAGCTGGTTGCCCTTGGCCAGGGAGTGGCCAGCTGAAGCAGGCAAATGCTGCCAAGCGAAGCTGTAGGCCTCACACCAGACTGCTTGGATGGCACACAGAGTAAAAGACAGGTCATTTCCATGTATAGAGTAAGCATACAGTGCGCATCTGTATGTTTTTGTGTGGATAGTGCTTCAGTATTGGAGTGAGAAGTCTGTCACCAGCTGAAAAAACTAAATTATGATCAAGTTCACAATTGACCTGGTCAGTTGTGTATCCACTTGTGGGCCTTACACAAACACCACCTATGCCAAAACTAACAGTACTGAGTCAACGGGTCACGACACCACTACTATAAAAAGCGTGTTGAGTTTTTCACAAGACATGCTCATCTTTTCTTCCACTTTGACTGAAAACTGAGTAGGAGAATACAGTGAGGTTTCGCAGTGCCCGCCAAGTTTAGTGGTGGTTCTCCTCATGTCTGCATGGAGCCACACTGAGTTGCTTCCACACTGCGGCATGAAGTATTTGAGCCTCGGTATTGGAACACCACCGAGTGATCTGGTGTCTTGGCTGGCCCCTGGTGGTGGATCCCAGGGAGGCTGTGTTCTTCAGTGCTGGAAGAGGGGATGGGCTTCTGGAGTGGTGGGCAGTCTGACCCGTCCATATGTGTGGCTGGGGGTTATACCTGCACCTGCGTCCCCTGTTGTGCCTGCAGGCTCTGTATGCTGGAGAGGATCTTCTTCTGATGGCCTGTCAACGCCACGCCCATCTTCCCCAGCTCACTGGTGACACAGATGGGAGGAGAACGGAGGAGTGAGATTTTGAGGAAACAAAAGAAGTGGTGTGAAAATGTTTTTACTGCGAAAGAATTTAAAGCAGCTAAAAGCAACAATAATGTACACAATTGCCCCCTTACCCTAAATGTGGTCAGTCAGCCAAGATAAGTTGTGCAAAGTTTGCTTTTTAAGTTTTGCACTGAGTTGTTAACCCAGCCAGCGCAAAAAGTGATTTTGTGTCTGTTTAATCTGCTCTTCACCATTAATAACAAGATTTCTCAATGCTGTTGCTGCATTTATCTGATAGATATTCTCAGAAACTACTTTTTGAACAAGAAAATAAAAGTAAAAGTTGCACATCTGACCAATTTCATTGTTACTCTGATTAAACAAACAGTAATAAGGGCTTACCAATCAGAACCGCGCTCTGCACACTCGTTTGTAAAGAATCCACAGCGCATCCAACAACAAAGGAAGCTATGCATCTTTTATACAGTGATAGAAAATGGTAGTTCACAGAAAGCTCTGATTTTACATGTTGATGCATTTTATCATGCCCAAACTGGACATGCCTGAGCTGTAACTCCCCTGGGGCAAATTTAAAGGGGTTTTAAGGCCAATCACAAATTCCTTAGAATGGATTGGTTTAACAGAAACAAGTAAACTCAAGACTTGTTTGTGGTTTCTTCCATTGTATGATATACTATTACCTATAATGGTCAAAGATACATCACACTACTTTTCTATGTGCCATCCATTTTTTCAGTTTGTCATACAGTGGTAGAAACCACACAGCTAGTCTTTTTAATTAATACAGTGATTTGTTATTATTATTTTTTTAATAACATTTAACCAAAAACAAACTGGCAGAATGTCTTCAGGTGACAAAGATATCCTTCGCTCCTCACAAAGTGGACAAATGACGACACTGAATAAGTGGACTGGAAGTAAAGTGAAGTAAATGGAGCACAGAGAGTTTCACTGGCTCATTCAGGAGCTGGAACTTTCAGATACAGCTTGGATGTTTGTAAGCTTGAGCTTGAGATGTTTGTAGTTTGAGCTGCTTTTGGAGATTCTAACACTATCCGTGAGGAAGGCAAACTAATCCTGTTGCCAGAGACAGTTCACAGATATCAAACGGAGCGCAAATTAAGTAATGTCAGCATTTGAAAAATTGCATTTGGTGTGCAAGATGTTGTCGGTTGTATACATCATAAAATTAATTTGCTGTTCGAAAAGTTTGCATGAATAACTCGCCTTCGGTGTGTAAAGGCCTTCAGGCTTCAAATGTCCAGGAACAGAAAACTAAACAAATATGCATCTAAACCTGTCGAACTGCTCCAAACGTAAGAAGTTTCATTTCTTCAGCATGTCATTCAAGCAACATCTGCTAAATCATCAGCTGAGTTAGAAAATGTTCGGTTCATTTTTTTTGTTCTGAGAGGCTAGAATGATTTTGGCATGTATTTGCGCTTTCAGTGATTTGGTCTGTAAAATCTTGTGGGCCATGAGTTAAAAAAAAGTTAGGGACCTCTGACTTCTAGAGGTAAGTTTATGATTCAGGCATGCAGTTTGCACAATACTAACAGAATTTCAGTTATTTTTTAGCTACAATAGCCTTGCAGCTCCAGTGTATAAAGATTCCAAACATATCTTGGCTGATTGACTACATTTGGGATAAAGGGGAAAACTGATTTTTAGCTGAACCACCTCCAGACTTTTCGGGATTGATTCCAGTAACTCCACCCGTCCACCTCTCTAAAATTCATGCACTCTCACAATTTGGGAGTTTAATTTTAGTAAGCCAGCCTGAACCCTGAATACACCGATCAGGCATTATGACGTCCTCCTTGTTTCTACGCTCATTGTCCATTTTAGCAGCTCCACTTACTATATAGGTGCACTTTGTAGTTCTACAGTTACAGACTGTAGTCCATCTGTTTCTCTGCATACTTTGTTAGACCCCTTTTACCCTGTTTCAGTGGTCAGGACCACCATGGACCCTCACAGAGCAGGTACTATTTGGGTGGTGGATCATTCTCAGCACTGCAGTAACACTGACGTGGTGGTGGTGTGTTAGTGTGTGTTGTGCTGGTACGAGTGGATCAGACACAGCAGTGCTGCTGGAGTTTTTAATCACTGTGTCCACTCACTGTCCACTCTATTAGACACTCCTACCTTATCAGTCCACCTTGTAGATGTAAAGTCAGAGACGATAGCTCATCTGCTGCTGCACAGTTCGTGTTGGTCATTCTCTAGTACTTCATCAGTGGTCACAGGACGCTGCCCACAGGACGCTGCTGGCTGGATATTTTTGGTTGGTGGACTATTCTCAGTCCAGCAGTGACACTGAGGTGTTTAAAAACTCCAGCAGCACTGCTGTGTCTGATCCACTCAGACCAGCGCAACACACACTAACACACCACCACCACGTCAGTGTTACTGCAGTGCTGAGAATGATCCACCACCCAAATAGTACCTGCTCTGTGAGGGTCCATGGGGGTCCTGACCACTGAAGAACAGGGTAACAAAGTATGCAGAGAAACAGATGGACTACAGTCTGTAACTGTAGAGCTACAAAGAGCACCTATACAGTAAGTGGAACTGATAAAATGGACAATGAGCGTAGAAACAAGGAGGTGGTCATAATGTTATGCCTGATCGCTGTATGTGCTAATGCTGTCACATGCACTGTAATTTAGCAAAATAAATGGAGTCCGAGACTAACCTGACGCTGACATAGAGGACAGAGTCCAGGGTGACATAGCCAGCGTTGGAGAAGTGCTCTTTGTACTGGCCCATCTTAATGGAATCCAGCCAGTCCTCCACTGTGCTGACTGCTGGCTCTGGGGTCACTGGGTCTTCCCTTAGGATGGAGAACAAATACAGTGACTCATTTTCTTCACAAAGACATGCTGTTAACTGACATTTCTCTTTTTTAGAGTAAATACAAAGGAAGGCATCTGCAACCACCTCTGGGCTAGCATTTCATGCAGAAAGTGACTGAAAGAGTCTGAATATGACGTTAACCCATTGAGACCAATGCAAAAAAAAGTAGCTATTTCTGCTGTTCAATCTGCTCCTCTCCATTAATAACATGATTTCTCAGTGCTGTTATTGCATTTATTTGATATGTAGTGAAGCAAACATTTGTGAAGGAAAAACTGCACTCTGAATGAACTTGAACACTCGCTCGGAAAAAACCACAGTGCCAAAGAAAGCGCAGATTCTACATGCTGATATATTTCACTCTAGGCACCGTGGACGTGCACTTCCCTGGCCACAGATTTAAACCAGTGAAAGGGACATCACTAAATTCTCAGAATGGAGACTCTGGGTTCCTTATCTTTAAGTAAGGAAAGAAATATTGTGAAAATATAATGCTAAGGCAAAAATACAATGATATCTCCATGCTGTTGTAATTTATTTTGATATGTAAGGAAAATCTAACAAAGGCAAAAATATGTTGATTTTTTTATGCTGTCATTTTGAACAAGCAAACAAATGCATAGAAATGTACTTCACTCTTCATTTGCTTATCATTACTGAATGAATTGATGAAAAAAATCAATATGAATTTCATTCTGAATCACCATGTAAGTGATAAAGCCATAGAAAACAGCACAGAGAAATATCACAATTCCATACGCTGATATATTCCAATCACTAATGTAAGTGAGGGTGGTTTGATGTGAAATGCTGCATTGTAGAGAAACTTGATTTCTTTGTAGTGGTGGTGATAGGAACCAGGGGTCACAATGTCTACAACATAAAATATAGCCATTTTATTTACTATTCAGAACTATCAGTGAACCCACATGCATTTTCAGTGTTTTTATATGTAATGTTGATGGTAAAATATGGCAAATCTGAAAAAAAAAAGTTTTCTTTTGGGACCATTTTGTCTGCACACACCTCTTCACCATGAATAGAGATTAAAAATGTTTCAGGCCAAAACTTTATCACAAAACTATCGTAAAACAATGGGTCAGGCATCAGGAAGAGTATATCTAACCATTTTATGTAATAACTTTTAAGGGAGGGAGCTTTCAGAGGCATTATTAAACTCTTCAGACATCTGGTTCCTGTCACCACCACTGTGAACAGTTCTGACTACGTAATCTTGCATTTCACATCAGATCACTCTGAATGACTTAGTTTGTATCTTAACCACTTAATTATGCAGAAACTCTCCTTTAATATTGTTTGTTTTGAATTTGCAGGTTTTGAAAAAGGACTGATTTCAGGCTCAATAAGTACTAGTTCTACAGAGCTGTTTCCTCTGTTCTAATGCAATTTCACGAGGAAACTAACACAGGCTTTAAATAAAGGGGGGTTTAGAGACAGCTTCCTTTAGGGTGGGGGAACAAATGTACGCACACATCTTTGTGTGTATGCACATGGCTGACAGGGGCAGCTCTCACCCCCTGAGCACTGAAAGGCCTTGTCAGAGCTAATCAGCAGCCAGAAGCCGGACAGCTGACATCAGGCTTGCCAGATCCGCCAGGATGCCTGATTACAACACAATCCCTGTCCCCAACACACGCACGCACGCGGTTTCAGACCTCGACCTGCACTCTGCCAGGCGAGAATGGCGGTCCGAGAAAAAAAGCAGACACGTTTCGCTTTGATGGTGGTTAGCGCCCGGCTAAACAAACTGGCCCTCATCTACTTCCCTTCCTGGCGCCCCTCAGAACCCAGCAGACGGGCAATCAGCTCCCCTCCCCACCGTTCTACAGCAGCCAGAGGAGAAGCAGGCGTGGGGTCAAAGACGAGATTGCTCGTTTGATTTAGTCATCCGTCTGGTTCTAATCTACAGCACCGTGTTATCTGCACAATCTCTTTTAGGAAATGATTGGTTCTGTTCAAAACACGACTGCTAATTTTGTCATTTGGCTGATGAGCACTTCCAGCCTAACATACAATGCCTGTCAAAAGTTTGGGGACAGCTCTTCAAAGTAATGAAGTTTTCATTAACCAGTTGCAGTACCTTAACTAGGTTTAACCCTCGAGACATAGAAAACAATATCATCATGATAAAGGTAAGTTACAAAAGTTATACTGTGTGTGTATACACGTATGTGTATATATATATATATACACACACACACACATACATACACACAAACAGTACTGTGCAAAACTTTAGTCTCAAGTACACCATTTTTCAGCATAAGGGGAATAAAGCACAAGACATATGACAGAAAACTATGCAGAAGCCTCAACTAAGATTTTTCAGTTATTATAACATATAATAAATTTTACCCTGCAGTACTCTTTCATCTTTAATAAATTAGGATTATTGCAGATTTTGCTCATGAAAACAGTTTATGAAAACCAATTTTTTGAAACACATACATGCCCCCAAATGTCTAACACATTTGCTGCACTGCCCTCAAAAGCGTTTCTTCACAATCTCTCTAGTATGACACGTTCCAAATGTGATTACATAGGAGTTTGATGGAAGGGTAGAGGAACCTTCTGTCACACAGAGTTTCTGTGGTACATCATGTTAAATAAACACCACTCCACCACACACAGAGTGATTGACTTAAGATGAACTGAACTGTAAAAGAATCCAGCAGATTCCTGCTCGCCTGTGGTGTCTTACCATATCGTGCTGTTGGCCAGCTGTTTGAGGGTGCTGGGGTTGCGGATTAGCCGGTCCAGGCTGTTGACGATCTGTCCAAACTTGGGCCTCTCGCTGCGGCTCTTCTCCCAGCAGTCCAGCATCAGTTGGTGCAGCACTACAGGGCAGTCCATTGGCGCCGGCAGCCTGTAGCCTTCATCTACAGCCTTTATCACCTGAATAGAAGCACCAGAATCACTCAGTCACTTACAGTACAATACACAAACCTGTTTATTATTAAAATGTGGTCCTTATTAACTGCCTTCATTTTTAAATAAACACATTTAACCTCTTAAAACTCTCAGGATGCATGAGTCCATGCCTCAATTCCTCCCTCTCGTAACGACATACCTTACAGAGTAGTTTCATACTAGTTACTGAATAAATCATAATAGTTATAATAGGACTTAAGATTATTAATACACTCAGAAAAACTGTTGTATGAACTTAGAGTAGCATATACAGACTTTTACACCAACATAAAATGCAGTTTCATTTAGTCAGCATTTTCAGTTTGTTCTGTTGTATGCAGATGTCTTAACTGAATTTACATAGTTTATTTGTTTTTATAAGTGAAGGTGACACATCCTCTACAGAGTACACACAATTTCTAATTTGATTTTGAATTTATTGATTTTCTCTTTTAAATTTAATGTTGTTTTTAATTGTTTATCTGACTCTGAATTTTCTCATTTGTAAAGCACGTTGAATGACAGCAGTGTCTGAAAGGTGCTATATAAATAAACTTGCCTTGCCTTACGACTGAACATCAAACTAACCTGTTCAACGGTGTAACTGGATAATAGGCCAGAGTTTAGAGTGTTAAAGGGAAATTCCAATGATTGTCAATTAGAGTGGTTTGATGTAAAATGCTGTATTGCAGAGAAACTTACCAACTCAGAAGGTGGTGAAGGGAATCGGAGGTTGCAATGTATGTAAAGCAAATACAGCCATTTTATTTGCTATCCAAAAGACCAGCGAACCTACACTTGTGAATTTTTATATGTTGATGATTGCAAAACAGCGGTAAATCAAGAAATATGTTTTCTTTGAGGACCAGTGTGCCTCACAACACACGTTTTTGGCAAAAAACCTTTTTTTAAAAACCATCATAAAATAATGTCTCATTGCCTCATCAGGAAATGTATTACTATTTTGCATAATAACTTTCTGTGAGGCAGCTTTTCTGTCTGGTTCCTATCACCACCACTGTGAACAATTCTGAAACCATCTTCTCTGGAACAGCACATTTTACATAAAACCGTCCTGATTAACTTTGTTTTCATCTTAACAATTTAGGACAAAATTCTGAAAACTTGGTGGAATTCCCCTTTACTGTGTCCTGAGAGTTGCACTGTATGGTGTTTGTTCCAGTTCAGTGTTGGACTAAGATCACACACTGGAAAATAATTTCCCTATGGGGCCAAAAACTTACAGCCATCACCTTTACATTTCACGCGATGCGTATCTGATGAACATTCAGCTGGGTTTTACATTTGGTGGCTGCAACTAGTAGTGGATTCATTTTAGTTTTGTCTCCCAGAGTATTAAACCTGAGTGTGATTTCCGAAACATACTGTCTTTGTCAGCTATAAGTCGAGCCCAAAGGAATCCCGGCTAATTTCTTTGCTTTCAAGAAGCGAAATCGCCATGAGCACAAGGGAGGAGAATAAACTAGTCGGATGCAAAGCTAGCAATTAGCCCAACTCTGCCTGCAGGACTCGAGCTCTGGAGATCCACGGATGCTGTTGCCATGGTAAGTGGAGGAGGAACAGATGGGTTTCTGTTTTATGCTGTAAACAGGACTTCCAAAATTCTGGTCCCCAGCCCCAGTTAAAAAAATAAATAAATAAAAAAGGCACTACTTTAACAGGCATGAGCACAGAGAACATTCTCCTGTTCTGATTTTAAAGGTGGTACTTCTGCATACTGTATCGTTTCTCAATCTCGGTCCTTTAGCTATACACCAACCTCCTGGCAGAACGTGCTTCCCAAGGTGGAAATGAATAAATGAAAAGGTTTCTGATGTGGAGGCTCTTGCCGAAAGCTAGCCGCGATGGATTTCAAATCCCTGGTTTCGACAAAAGCAGCCCGTGAACAGAAACCTGGAAACGTTCCCCACCTCCAGCTGCATTTATTCTTTTACCTTTGCAAGATCGCACTCTTCAGGGGATCGACGGTCCAGGGGAATTAAAGTGCTTTGGCAGAAAGAACCCTTCCAAGATGATGGCAATCTGCAGAGCCGCACATGATGCAGGGCCAAAATGAAGCAGAGAGCGGCTACCTGGCAGAGCTCACGGCTTTCAGAACCTCCTGATGTTTCTATCACAGCGCATGGAGGGATCATTGGGAGGTCTGGCGATGCAATCACTGCACTATGAGTGTGTGTGTCTGTGTACTTGTTTTCCTGGATTTTCAGGGCAGGAATTCAGCAACAAAATGGTCCTACATTGTGTAAGGAGGCTTTTTCACATAATCCATATATATATAAATCTGGTATATCCAAAATGGTAACTTTACGGGAGAAGGAAAAACGTACTTTACTCTCAATGTAAGTCAATGGAACCAGACTTTTTTTCAAGTAATATTGTTTCTTTTGGTCCATTCATCATTTAATTTACACACAATGTAAAGAGCAACAGGCACTTTCAAATTATGTCAAACACTGAAAAACGGAGGTGCAAAAACGAAACTGGAGATACGAGGTTTTGTTCCGACAGCAGCAACATGTATGAACCTGTGTCCCGATATTGTATAAAAACAAGTGTGCATGCTTGTGTGTATGTGTGTAAGAGAGAAAAGAGAGTGAGAGAGGAGGCAGTAGGCCAAGGGCAAACTATCTATCATTTTTAGTTTATGGAGGTTCTGCTACAGTGCTTCGTTCGGTTGATTTATCATCTATATATCATATCTGTGCTACAGACTGCAGACATGGGTTGCTGATTGTATGTACTCACATCCTGATTGGACATCTCCCAGTATGGCCGCTCCCCATAGGATATCACCTCCCACATGACGATGCCATAACTCCACACGTCACTGGCAGAAGTGAACTTCCTGTAGGCTATGGCCTCGGGGGCGGTCCACCGGATGGGGATTTTACCCCCCTGTGAGGGACAATAAAATACCACCCATCATAAGGCAATTTTCCCAAAACCAGTGTAATCAGTACAGTATCAGGAACCAAGCCACAGAAGTTGAGTTATTATTGGGGTTCTGTTACATTTTTGATTTACATTAAATAAAGTCAATTACCTAATTATTTATACGGTAATGAAATACGTTTACATTCTGCATCAACAGGTTAAAGGGAGGAATGTACACAAGTACTTGACTACTTAGTTAACTGTTCAAGGTGCCAGTCCTAAATACTGAAATAACTGAATATTCAAATACTTAGAAATAGAGATGTTAATTTTCTAAGTGAAAATAACACGTACTCTACAGACTGAAACATGGCATTTTTCTGTAAATAGTTCTATTTATTTGCTGAGTTTAACATTTTGGAAAAAAAATTATAAAATCTAAAGTGTGCCACAACTTTTGCACAGACAACAATTAATGTTTTTATTTTTTTCCAATATGTTAAATTCAGTAAATAAACAGTAATTGTGCATGAAATGTGCAGAGGTGTGTTCTCTGCAGTGGGTGTGTAAACTTAGTTTCACTAAAATCAGCAAAACATGTAGTTTGACCAGACTTAGGACTGACAGCATAGGACTGTATATCACTGCTGTCGGAACAAAACCTTCCATCTCCAAAATGGTAACTTTACAGGAAAACGAAAAAACCTACTTTTAATTTAAGTCAATGGAACCCCAAGTCGTTTTGGTTCATTTCTTTTGGTTCATTCATCATGAAATTTACACACAATATAAAGGCCAACATGCATTTTCAAATTATGCCAAAAACTGAAAAACGACTAAAATGGAGATACAAGGTTTGGTTCCGCCAGCAGCGATATGTCTCAGTGTGAGCGTGTTGTCAAAGATCCCATGGATGTCACTGAAAAGATAAAGATAAGCACCACTGGATCTGCTGCTGCCTTTTTGCTAACTGGGCTAACTATTGTACTTACTGTAGACTCTACGTCTAGAAACAGTGAAAATATATTTCTCTGACAAACTAACAGGTTTTCACATGGAGAAAAGACCTCGTGTAGAAGACGATGAGTCCACAGTATCCAAATCTGTGTAGTGTTTAGTTCATCTGAAGAGGCAGCCTTTAAAAACCTAACAATTTCTCTCAGCTATTTCAGAACAATAAAATATGTTTTACATTTTATTTTTATGTTTTTTTTTGATTTTTTAAGGTTAACAGGATACAGTTCATTAACTCTTCTGAGCAGCTTTTTTATTTTTAATACTAAGCAGAAAACATGATCAGAGTATTAGAGTAAATTATAGTATCCATACTGTAATGCATGCTAGGACAGGACAGCAGATTAATCTTTGTCATCACTCTCTTAACTCCAGTAATATATATATATATATATATATATATATGTGTGTGTGTGTGTGTGTGTGTGTGTATTAATCTGCTGTCCTGTCCTAGCATGCATTACAGTATGGATACTCTAATTTACTCTAATACTCTGATACTCTAATTCTATCCCTAATTTACCATTTTCAGACATTCTGCTCATGCATTAAGTAGTTCACTAATGTTACCAGCCAAACTGTCCCATATCTGTATTGTTAAAGCCTTAGCATTGCGAATTCTAGCAGTAGAGAGCTCCATCATAACTATATCATGAAAATAAAACAATCACTTCCTGCTATGCAACATGTGAGGGGGCATCCAACGCTGAACTATCAGTTTTTTTTGCTGCAGTCAAACCACCAAAAATAATTTTCCACTGTTCGTTAACTCTTATAGACACTCCAATATCAAAATTAGTCAGAATGCTCATACCTAGTACGTACATAATGTCACCAAACTGAAATGATAAAATGTTAATGAACACAAACGTGTTATTGATTGAAAGTTTGGACTGATGTTCTCCATTTATTTCAGTGAGCTACAATGAGAATCTATCAATATTAAACACTTCTGTTATCACTGACTTCTAAAGGTTAAGCAGACATTGTGACCTACATTGTTTGCTTTGAGCTTATAGTTCCCATCTTCAGCTATACACCAGCCTGTGCGGTGTTGCATAGGGAAGTTGATGTCTTACATCACAGTAGGAGAAGTACCCTCTCAGTGGGGTTCTGTTCTGTTCTGTGATATGTTGACACAATCAGTAGGTTCCAGCTGCCCAGTATAAACGACTAAAACCCCGCAGGGAGACTCTTTCATCCTTCTCAATCTACGAATCTCTCTCTCTAACTCCACTTCTCTCAGCGGACTGTTTGTTAGGCCGGGCAGGTTGATTGGTGATGGGAGTCTGATGGGGCATGAAGCTGTAATTCCACCTGTTGGCGCCTCACGATGCGTTAGAGGAAGGATCTACTCTTAGGATAAATCTTAGTTATCGACTCTACTGCCCAGCTGGTGGTTTTGGTGGAAATCACAGCACCCTGTTGATAAAGCACATTGGAGTGCGTGTCGCAGTGCCACGCTGCCGTGTTCGGCCAGGAGGGTGCCTGTCCCAGCTGTTTACACCCAGGCCCCAGAAGTCCAAGTAAAAAAGCTTAGTGAAAGTGATGCATTGATTCTGGAATTTCACAAATTAGTATAGTAATACTGAATAAAGTATGTAATATTCAAAACAGCTTGATATATATGTTTGATCTATATTTCTATACACTGTGCAAACAGTGAAACAAATAATTCTTTGCATAAATCAGTCATTGAGATGCAGTCATTCAGAGTGAACTGGTGCGAAATAGTTTGTTGTAGAGAAACTACTCTGTTGTAGAGATTTCTTTACAGTGGTGATGATAGGAACCAGGAGTCCTGATATCTACAGCTCAAATGCAGCCATTTTATTATCTAAAATGACCAGTGAGCCTACACATGTCTTCTGACTTTTCACTTGCAGTGTTGGCAGCAGTAAAATAGTGGGAAATTCGGGAAAAAAAATATTAATGCGTTTTAAAAAGTACATTTTAGCTCAAAATCTCAAAACTATCATAAAACGATGTCTCAGACATCAGGCTAAAAGGAGCTCCCAAAGGCATTAAATGCATCAGACGCCTGGTTCCTATCACCAACACTGTGGACAATTCTGACTCAGCAAGTATGCAGCATTTCATGTCAAACAACTCTGAATGACTGTGTTTACATATTAACCGTTTAATGATGCAGAATTTTTGAAAAATGGGTGAAATTCCCCTTTAATCTAGGTCACAGATTTATACCTTAGTTTTGACCAAAGAAACTAAACTCAAGTCTCTTTCTCTCTCCCACACAGAAACACATCCAGGTCCCCCCCACGCAGATCCATGCCGTGCATGGGGGGTCTACAGTAGACAGTAATGCGAGACTGTAGGGCCTTACAGCAGCAGTTCTGCAGAACAGGCTGTATTTTCCTGCTGAGTGAACGCTTAGCTGTCCATCACCTACACAGTCGTCCTGGAAGGCTTTCAGCAAACAGCCACTACTGACCTAATTCCTGCTCTACAAATGGATCGAGCCTACTTTTCATTTGTGTTTCATTTTAGTTTCACTCCATAAATGCTGGGGGGAACAGAGTAAAGGGATAATTAGAAATCTAAAATAAGTCCGTTCTTCGCAGCAACATCACTGGATATCAGAATATTTCACTTCAATGTGAAATAGAGGTCAGGCAATAAAGGCATAGTAACAGTAGTTGACCAAGGAGATGAAAAATAAGAGTAGAAACAGAAATAAAAGCTAACTGTATAATTTCTTAGTGATAAAGTTCACTCACCCTGGTGGTGTACGCTGCCTCTGGGTCATCTTCCAGCACACGGGACAGTCCAAAGTCGGACACTTTACACACCAGGTTGCTGTTCACTAGTATGTTCCGTGCAGCCAGGTCTCGGTGAACGTAGTTCATCTCAGAAAGGTACTGCATCCCAGCAGCGATTCCACGCATCATCCCCACCAGCTGAATCACTGTGAACTGCCCATCGTGTTTCTGCATAAAGTTATGAACATCAATCAACCACAGGCAGAAATGACCACATCACTTAAAGCTATCTGTGTTATACATGTTTAAAGAAGCTCTCAAGTCGTTACCAACTACTTTATTGTTAGCAAAACCACATATAACAGTTTGTAAAGGTATCTTTAAGTACACAGTAAAGAATTTATATAAATTTAAAGTGGAAACATGCAATAACTACTGTATTCCTAAAATACAGCAGATAGTTTTAAAAATGCTGCATTATGATAGATACAGGTCAAGCTTTTTCTCAATGAAGTTAAAATATCACATTTTACAGTAACAAGTTGCTACTTTGTGCAGTCTTGAGCAGCGTCTCTGAATATTGAGGTGACGGGTGGAGCTTCCAAGCATTCCCTGCAGTTATGTTGGTGTTGGTTCATTTTATTTTTCTTCATTATTATACTTTTATTTTTTTTTAATAGCATATAACTCTTATCCAAAAGACACATTTGACTGCATTGCACATATTTTAATAATATTTTGGTATTCCAACCATACAACCATGATGGTATTTTGTGTTTTACTTGACTCATTCATCCTATATTATAATTAACAGATATTTAATTACTGCCATCTTTGTATACTGGTGTGAGTGCAGGTAACTGCTGTAATGTGAGTTTATACTAAGGTTTCAGTTATACTATGATTTATAAACCGTACTTCACTGTGTAAAAAATGATGTGATTGTTCTCGTAACTTTCTAGCTGTCTGCATGAACGTTAAAGCATTTGCAACCAGAAGCTGGCTAGATTTGTCGTGTTCGCCTGGGTCGCTGGCCTCTTACACATACAAACTGCGCAAATACAGTAATCGACAACATCTACACTCTCTGTCCATTTTTTATAGCTCCCCTGACCATATAGGAGCACTTTGTAGTTCTAAAATGGACTGTAGTCAGTCTGTTTCTCTGTATACTTTGTCAGACCCCCACAGAGCAGGTATTATTTGGATCGTTCTCAGCACTGCAGTAGAGATGACTGTTGCCACTCTTTGTGAAAAAATTCTAATGCATCTTTATGTGCATGACTGTTGTTTCTTCCATTCACAGCTCTTTCCTCCTTCAGCAACCTAGAAATTTAAAATTAGGGTCTTTCCATTTGTTCAGCTGATGATCCTGGATTGAGACTTCAATGTAAGTGTTGCCAGTGTTGTGCTGATGTGCTCGTCTCTGGGTTTTGGACAATTTCCCATCATGTATCTTGCCTCAGTGGTGGCATATATAATCCACGGGGAGCTTTTTATTTTTTCAACTACTATTTATTGGTGAGTAATTGTTAATTCATAAGCTCTCTGATTTCCAGCGTACTGCAGAGTGTGAGCTATTAGCTACAGCGGTTGCATAATCCTATTGGCTTATTATTGTGAGCAATGAGAAAAATTCATGATGTTTGATTATAGCCTGTGCTTAGAAACTAAAACTCATGGACATCTTGTCATTTTTTTGCCTCTTTTATTTCTTGATAGCTGACTACATTTTCATCTGCACATTTCACATCTCTCAAGTTATGGCCAACTGGTTAAAAAAAGAAACAAATCAGAGAGACGCAGGGCTGAACAGAACACGTAAGATCAGGCTGCGCCCGAATCTGTTTGTGACTGACAGGGTGCTTTTGTTTTATTTCATATAATTTCCTTTTTGGACTCAAAATGACCACGCTCCATTGTGGGAGAGAACAAGAAATGCTCACCTTCAAGAACGTGTCCAACGATCCGTTTTCCATGTACTCTGTTATTATCATCACGGGCTTACCTATTGAGATGAAGTAGAGGGAGGTGGTGAGAGATGGAGAAACAAAGAAAGGACGGGAGAGAGACAGAGAGTAAGAGGGTAGAGAAACATGAAGAAAGAGGGGAAAAAAATGGAAAGCGCTTTTTGTAATAATTTCTCCACAGGAGAAGACAAAAAAGACATCGCAGGAAGACAAAAAAGGCTCTCTCTTTACGTCCCATATTTAATTCATTTCTGAGCCGACAGAGAAAAACGGGTGGATGTGGGGGAGGCAGCCCCCCTCTCATGGACCCCCAGCCTCTCTTCCTCTCCTCTCTACCTGCTGCCTGTTACTCATAGTGACAGCCCCTAATCAAAGCTCTCAATAACAGTCAGGCAGATAATTAGAGTGAGCCGTCCTCAGAGAATATCTTTGTCCAGAAATACCATGAATGGTAATGAGTTCCTATGGTGGGAGGGAGATAGAGGGGGTGGTGGGGGTTTGGCGGGGGGGGTAGAGAGGGAGGGAGGGAGGCTCCTGAGGGGGATGCGGGGTGATGAATTGACCAAGGAAGAAGAGGAGGAGTGCGATAGAAGGAGGGAAGGGGTGCAAAAATCTGCTAATGGGAAAAGTGTTCACCTCGCCGGCATTCAGCACAGGCAGCTGCCAGCGCCACATATGGGGCCAGAGTGGGGGCGGGGGGAGGGAAAAAGAGAGGTTCACACCTGCGTGTCACAAAGTGATTAAAAATGCTCCCCTGATTCCGTCGCAATAACAGAATGTCAATCAGTGCAGCAACAGCCTGCACCCCCACCTGTGCTGAAGGGCTCAGACAGGACCGACCGCGGGGGCTAATCCACCCTGATTATCAGAGAGGGCTGATGGGGAAACTCTCCCTGCACGTGCCCTTCGAGCCCTGGGCACACCTCCTGCCATTATCACACATCAGCACTGGACCCAGTATTACGCCTTGAGGCACACCATTCACAAGCCTGAAAACTGTCATTCATAACCCCTTCAGGAGCAGGCTTATTTTTCACTTATTAATGTTAAGGTGTAATAGCAAGCAATCATTTACTCAAAAATGTTTTGAAAACAGTATATCGCTGCTGTCGGAACAAAACCTCGTATCTCCAAAATGATAACTTTACAGGAGAAGGAGAAATCATACCTTACTTTTAATGTAAGTCAATGGAACCAGACTTTTTTCCAAGTAATTCTGGATCATTTCTTTTGGTCCATTCACCATGAAACTCAAACAATGTATAGGACAACAAGCATTTTCAAATTATGTCAAAAACTGAAAAACGACAAAAATGGAGAACAAGGTTTGGTTCCGACAGCAGCAATATAATTTATGTAGCTATGACCGTGAGACATTGGGCCCATATACAGGGCACCTTAAGGAGTTACCTGTGCAAACTTCATCTCCACATCCTAAGGCGTGTTCAGTAACTTCATGGAAAGCAATACAAAGTGATTGGTCTACTGTTTAGTTGTACGGTCGAGAAGTTAAACATTTAGATTCCAAACATGCTGGCTCAGGCCTCGCTGCATGCCCTTCAGCACTTTTGTGACTAGGTGGACACTTTAAGGTCTCTCAGGACCTCGAAGGGTGACACAATTTCATTGTTTAGGATTTCTTAACACAGCATGGAGGAGACTGAGGTTAAAGGCAAAACTGCATTACCTGCCTCACTGTGTTTTTTGTCTGGCGTTATTGGTAGAGGACAAAGAAATGCAAAGTAAAACCCCCACCTCAAGTCTATCTATTTGTAGTTTCTAGTCCTGTTGCTTTGATGTGTGTGTGTGTGTGTGTGTGTGTGCGTGTGGTGTTCAGCTGAACTGGGCTTGGTCCGCATCCTTCCAAGCTGTCACTTTGAGTAAATCACCATTGGGCCCGTCACACTCATCAGACAGTAAATCGCACGGCGAGGGTAGAGAGGTCAGAGAGTCATCAAAACAAATTGGGTGTTAACGAAGCGACGTGGGACGAATCGCTTTGACAGTAAGCCAGGCCCATATCCATATCCTGACCTGCCCTCTTCTACATACACAACTCCAGACGGCCAGTGCAACAAGGCGGATACGCAAACGCACACAGCTCCCCTCACACCTATTTTAGCACCTTCAGATGAAAAAGCCGAGAGCATTTTTCTATTTTAGAGCTACAAAGGGAAGCTCATTTCTTAAGAAGTGGCGGAAGGCTCTGTGATCAGTTCATTATGGAAATTAGTCATGAGCTTTTCATCCTTGGCTGCTGGTCATGGCGTATGATTGATGTTGTACAATGAAGCGGCCAACACTTTTAGGTGCGATAATATAGTATAATTATACTGTCTCACTTAATGCTAAAAGGAGTATGATTAAAACAGAGCCATGACCAGACCGGTCATCATTGTGGATCTGCCCAACAGGATATCCAATATAGACTTTTTGGAATTATGCTCTTCCTTAGATGAGCAGGGAAGGCGACAGAAGGAATAAAGGGTTTACTGAATGTGGAACCTTTTAACCAGATGGAAATCATAACAGCTATTTCTTTTGAAAAAATGGTGAAATCACTGATATTCAAATGAATGCCCCCATCACAAATCTCATCACAAATCTCAATTTTAAGGCTAAGCTTTTTCTAATGAAACATACATTTGGGCTGCCTTTCTGGACACAGATTAAGCCTTATCCCAGACTATGAAGGATTTTCTATAACGAATCCCTTCTGCCAGTGTAATTCACTCTAAGACTCCGCTCAGCGCGCGTCCACATGACCAGCCAAAAGTGATGCTCGAGGTCAAAAATAAACCCATTATGTTTCCTCTTCTCCCTTTCCCCTGCCCACACTGCAATCAGAGCCTGGACCCATCCGGAAAAACACCTAAAACCGTATTAGCTTCAAATTCAGCCGAAGCAGACAGTCGATGCATGTTATCAGATTGGAGCCATACTATTCTGACAGTTAACTGCACAATGGTTTTATAATGGAGATGATGACAGCTCAGTGTTTTTGTTAAGATGGGCTGGAGGATAAAGGTCTATTCTGGTTCTATTCTTTCAGCTGCTGCTCCATTTGCATTACAATAAGCTCAATCACGGTCTAATTTTTCTGTCGGAGTCGATAATGATACACCGGCTCTTTAAGCCCTGTGTAACGTGACAGCCGCATTTCATATTTCAATACAATTATACTCGCACTCTCCGTCTTTCTCCTGCTGTCAGCAGTATAAACACAAACCAGCCTCGTCTTTCTTCAAACTTCTCTTTCTCCTTTAATGCATCTCTGACTTGTGGCGGAGTCATTATGCTGTTGGAGAGGCACCAGATTGGCAGCTGGCTCTATAACGCGGCGTGCTGGGGTCACTGACCTCTAGTCTCCCTCTACCCAGCATCATCAGGCTGCTCCATGACCTGTGAAATTATTTTGACACTCAGCACAAGATTCTATATCTTTCACATCACACCCAATCAACACGCAGGCAAACAAGGACACACTTTAACCCTCCTAGGTCTCCCAGGGTGCATAAAGGTCTTGTAACATTTTAACATTATTTCTCATTTATAGCTGATTAATACAAGCAAAGAAATTCTGTTGAAAGTATAAATTCCTAACGTTCACCTGAACTTCTGTGATTTTAAGTAGATGTAGGGATATTTTATTATTGTCAGAATTTTTTTTTCCCCAATTTAGAAGTATTGGTGTGCATACAGTCTTGATTTGAGGAAAGAAAAAGAATCCTTTACGTTTTGCCTATTTTTGACTGAAAAATTATTAAATAAATGATTTACAGTACTGTATAAAAGTCAGAGACAAGCTTAATTTATTTAATGTCTTGGCAAAATGGCCATTAAATGGGAGAGGATTTCTGAAGAGACTACATACAAGATCATCCACGTGTGTAAGAAGGAAAAGAAGTAAAAAACCAAACAAAAACTGGAGTTTCTAAAACTGAAGTATAAAAAAAAAGAAAACACTACTGAAAGACATTGAGAAAATAGGAGCCATGCAAGTCCTGGCAGACCAGCAAAACTGTCCCCATCAGATAAACAGTACTTAAAGCTTTCATCTTTGAGAGAGAGGAGAAAATCAAGCTGCTTCAGATCTGAAAACATCCACAGGTGTTTCTGTCCATCCTTCCACTGTGAGAAGACGACTCAGCGCTGTGGGTCTGAAAGGATGTGTAGCTGTTAAGAAGAACCTCACTGAGAAAAGGAACCATCAGTCAATCATGCTGAAGGATCAGTGCAGGTTTGGGGATCAAGCAAAGATGCTGCTGGGCTTTCCCAGAACAATGGACTGACAACCCCAGAGTCCAGACTTCAGCATCACTGAATGTGTTTGGGATTAATTACTTCTGTTGTGAGAAACAGAAAATGCTAAATCAACATCTAAGACTGATCACTGAAAGGAAAAATAGGCAAACGGTACACAATAAAAACTGAAAAATTAGATACTATATTTAGTTATTGAGGCTTCTATGTGGATTTAACTGAAAATTAAATGTTGGTCTCTGACTTTTGCACAGTACTATATGTAATTAATTAGCATAATATAAGTAGTTTTAAATAAATATGTAATATAAACAGAATTTGTAGTAGAACAACAACTCAAACATACCTGAACCTGTCGAGACAGAAAGAGAATTTAATGTAATCATAATTAATTACATAACTATGTAACTTAGGGAATTAGATACAAAACAATTGTGATGTATAATGTACATAAAGCTATATGACAATAGGTGGCGCTAGACTTTAGGCTTAAAATCCACACATGCACACGCAATCTTGTGCACACTGAGACTGCTTCACGATCACTACGATTAACACTGATGCTACTGAGGGACGCAACAGGTGTAACGGATACCTATATGACATACATGACCATCATTCAACGAACATCAGGTTCAGGTTCATCATCACTGATATTGTTGATGCTAAAGTTCTCAGGTGATGACAGCCACAGATTTACTGAAGAAGTAAATGCACTACTGCAGCTTAGTTCAGCACTGCATAATGGAGTGGAGAAAGCCTGACATCCCTTGACTTTGTCTGGTGGAGAGAGAAAAAGATCTGATTTGCAGTGTTTGAACAAATGCAAGCTAAAAGGCCATGATTTGCATTAGTCACGTTAGTCAGAGGAACTGGCAGAAAAACGCTGGATGGATTAATGCTTTGTTAATACGTGTGGCTGATTGAATATTCATTTTCCCCCAAAAACCCACATCAAATTACTTGTTTGTACTATCAATATGTATAGAGCGGGCACGGCTACGGATGGGTTTGTTGTTGAAGAGGCTGTCGCCCTAATCAGATGAGGTGAGGAAAAAAAAACCCCAAAAAAACCCCAAAGCAGGAATCGACAGCGGCTATAATAGCTGAACGGTGACCTCCAAATTTGTTGCGCAACACACCTCTTCCACAAGAGCCTTCAGGCACGTAACATGGCAACACATCGCTCTCGCTAAACTGCAAAATGCATGGCAAGGTTCAATGGACACATTATGATGGTGGCCATCATTATCACTGCCATTATTCTAACTGAGTAATAGGCTCCAATTTTGCATCTCTTGGTGTGCAGTTCATTAGCGCTAAATTCCTCATCTGTCACATTGTAATGCAAATCAAGGCAAAGAGGAAACAGCATGACACCAAAGGATTGATTTAAACATTTCTGCTCTCCGTCTCTTTGTCTGCAGATCGATTGTAGCTCTATGGCCGTAAACACGCTGTTCTTCAGAGCTACACGACTGACATCTTATCGGTGATGTTTCCACAGACGTTACCTGGTCAGCTACAGTGATTATCCACTAAGATAAGCATAGTCTAAGGCAGCTTTTCTAACATCATTTGTATTCTCATTAAGTAGGCCACTATATTACCGATATAGCAGTGCTCACATAATACATATTCATAGCCATGAAATATTCATGTCCCACACATGCTGTTTATTCCTAAAGATAAGGCAAGGGCAAGGACGGCAGAGAACTGAGAAACCTTTGCATCTTTACACATCCTACATCTGCGCTGCAATTCAAAAGGTGTCGAGCATGAAAACAGCTTGTACATGTATGTGTGTGCGTTTACGTTTTTATCTGTTTTGCTCTGAAAATATCAGTAACACTTTCTTTTACACTGATCAGGCATAACATTATGACCAGCTTTATCAGCTCCACTTACTATATAGGTGCACTTTGTAGTTCTACAGTTACAGACTGTAGTCCATCTGTTTCTCTGATACTTTGTTAGCCCCCTTTTACCCTGTTCTTCAGTGGTCAGGACCCCCATGGACCCTCACAGAGTAGGTTCTGTTTGGGTGGTGGATCATTCTCAGCACTACAGTAACACGTACGTGGTGGTGGTGTGTTAGTGTGTGTTGCGCTGGTACGAGCGGATCAGACACAGCAGTGCTGCTGGAGTTTTTAAACACCTCAGTGTCACTGCTGGACTGAGAATAGTCCACCAACCAAAAACATCCAGCCAACAGCGTCTTGTGACCACTGATGAACAAACTGTGCAGCAGCAGATGAGCTATCGTCCCTGACTTTACATCTACAAGGTGGACTGACGAGGTAGGAGTGTCTAATAGAGTGGACAGTGAGTGGACGCAGTGTTTAAAAACTCCAGCAGCACTGCTGTGTCTGATCCACTCGTACCAGCACAACACACACTAACACGCCACCACCACGTCAGTGCTCAGAATGATCCACCACCCAAATAGTACCTGCTCTGTGAGGGTCCATGGGGGTCCTGACCACTGAAGAACAGGGTAAAAGGGGGCTAACAAAGTATGCAGAGAAACAGATGGACTACAGTCTGTAACTGTAGAACTACAAAGTGCACCTATATAGTAAGTGGAGCTGATAAAATGGACAATGATCGACAAGGAAACAAGGAGGCGGTCATAATCAAAAGACTGTACACAAATAAAGCTCGTCTTTGTTCAGACTTCTCTTTCTCCTTTAATGCATCTCTGACTTGTGGCGGAGTCATTATGCTGTTGGAGAGGCACCGGATTGGCAGCTGGCTCTATAACGCAGCGTGCTGGGGTCACTGACCTCTAGTCTCTCTCTACCCAGCACCCAGAGTCTTACATAGTATCTGTTTATTACCTATAAACGAAACTGAATCTGGGCTGTACAGCAAAGCAGTGGTTCTTACTGTGGGTTCTTCCTGTTTACTTCAGAAGACTATGTTGGCATTTTGTGCCATTGTTTGTACCGCACACTTACTCGGTAACGTCTACAGCCTGTTTGGCATTTCAGCGGAATGGATGTACACATTTGAATTAATAGGGGAAAAAACACTTTTCTCAGTGTTTATTTGTCTTTTTGGCCTTTAGCCCACCTTTTCGCCTTGGCCCCCCAAAGCAAAAGGTTTGGACACCCCAATACAGCCTATAACTTCAATATAGTTAAACCATTTTTTGCAGTGCATGTGGTTCTGCTACCAATCAGATCTTTCAGAGGGACCTGCCCAAGTCCTTACAAAGAAAAGGAACTTTTATTAAAGCAGGGATTTTAAAGGGGTTTAAAAAAAAAGGAACAGAAACACTCACATCTAGTCACGACTCCTTCCAGTCTGATGATGTTGGGGTGGTCGAACTGGCCCATGATGCTGGCCTCGCTGAGGAAATCTCGCCTCTGCTGCTCCGTGTAGCCCGCTTTTAGACTCTTAATGGCCACGTGGATCTCCCTCTTACTGGGCAGACGCAGCCGCCCACTGCACACCTCCCCAAACTCACCTAGGGTGACAAAGCAGGGCATGTTTAACTACAGCTTATTGTTTGTGAAAATAAACATAAATTTATTTATTTTTTTTCCAAGATATTAAAATACTCAGGAGATCTATTACTACAGAACAAAAGGATTTAACTACACCTGCAGCAATAGAGTCAAACTAACATAGCTGACTTACAAACAATCTGACTAGTTGCAGATGTATATAGTCTTATACAGTGGGTGAAATGCACCCTGGTATTTGGGGGATTACATGCTGGCCGGCCTCTCCAGTGTTGGTGGGTTGCTAACTCACCACAGCAGCGCTGCTGCCAGCTTTAATGGCAACAAAATGTTTGGTTTAACTTTTTTTTTAATGCTCTTTTCTTGTTTGGTAATGTTGTCTTCCTCACATTAACTGAGATCTTACTCATCTCCTCTTCTGTCTCTTCAGTTTGAGAAATGAGGAAGTCACTCTTTCTACCAAACTCTTGGAAAAATGGCGAAGTTTTCAGATTTACAGACGTGCTGTGGCATATTATAAATTTTTTCAAAGGTATCTCAGGTTTAGTTACAGTTATTAGGCTATGAAGGACCAACTGGGTGAATAAATTTGCTACAGCGCCACCCTGAGGCAGACCAGTGCTGCATCTCTAGTTACTTAAGAATATCAAAGACAGAAGCTCAATTGTGGGTGAAGCAGCTAAACAATGACCTTTTCCTGAATTTGTATTCAAGCATCTATTTTTCTCCTAATGGACAGCATAACGTCATATGTTTATTTTAAAGGACCCCCCCAGAATTTTGATTTTGAGACATTCAGGGGGTTCAAGAAGTTAATTAGGGGGTCCCAGAACCCTCAAGGCAATCTGTATATTACCAAGGTGCAAAATACATCTGATCCTCCCATTCAGATGCTCCTTGACTGGTGGGTCCAAAGGTTTGTTGCTCACTAACTTAATAATAACAACTCATTTTTCATTGTTGTCCATGTAGTTAAGCTTTAGGATGTGGCCATGCAAAGAAGCTTGGGGGGCAAATGAATCAAGCGTGTTACATGAAGAGTTTTCAGAATTAGTCACTCTTATCAGCAAAGAGCACGAAGACCATTCCCATATATGTTAGGACACATTAGTGCAAACCAGTACAATGTTTTGGATAAACATATTTAGTCAAACTAGACGTCACTAGATATTTTTAAAACTTAGAAATCACTGCTTGCTTCCATACTTTTGTCCTGCAGCGTACTTTTATAACTGACACCTTTCAAAAGCCAAACTCACCGGCTCCGATCACTCTCTCTATCCGGATGTTGGAAACTTCTATCTCCTTGGCGAAATCGCGCACCGCCTGGTTGGGATCCTCGTACGTGTGAGGATGGATGTACGTCCTGGTTCCAGGAAGCTGGACTGTAAGACAGGAGCAAAGGCAGCAGGAGTGAGTGAGGATAATGGCTTGGCTGTTGCACTCGTTTTTCGCTCGTTCATTAGCAAAACCATCCATTTCCCTAAAGGAGGGGCGCGCCACATTTACAACTTCATTAAGCATTGTCTTTGGCAGGCAGGAAAAGTGTCATTAGAGAAAACACACATTAGGGAACTGAAGTGATCTGTGCCATCATTCATCAGCGGACGCAACAGAGGGAGCTTCGGCACACGGTGCTTTCACTTACTGACAAATGGCACAGCTTGCAAGAGCAACATGCTCTGTCCACTTTGTTTAAAGTACGAGCCCAAGTGCGCAGTTACAGTGTGTCTGTTCTAACAAAACACAAATAACTCAGAAATGTTCTCTGGAAACTGGATTTTATGCTCTAAGGACTCATAGCGAGTGAAGAGATGTCAAGGTGATCTCTCTCGAGCTTAAAAGACCAGGATTTTGCAGTTTGTTGCCTTTAGCTAAGGACATACTTTTGGATTCATATTCTGGCATCCTGGCAGGGGCTGCTGTCTCACCTCGCCCGTGCTGGAACTGCATCTTCTCCTCCTCGGGGTCCTGCTTAGCTTTGATGTAGCCGCAGTGCCTACAGCAAGAAAAATGGACAGGGATCAACCACAGTTGTATATTAAACTTTCTGTGCTGAGCTAAGGACAGTTTCTTTCATAATGATTATATAACATATTCTAGATCCCCTTTCTTATTGAACACACATAATAGTGCCTCATATTAAGGCTACTCATATTCACATTTAGCCATGTACTGTAATGTTATAAAATGACAAAATCAGCTCCATTAAGGGCCTTTCAAACCACAGACTGCTGTTCATCAGCAATAACAAAGGCATGCTCTGATTTTACATCAATTATTTCTCATTCACAGCTCATTGAAAGAGGCGATGTTGAAGGGCAGGTTCTGAATGTTCAATCCAAACCACATTTGGTGTTGATTTCTACTTGACGGAAAGTTACTGCTGTGCATACAGTCTTGTATTGTGGAAAGGAAAACACATCCTTCACGGTTTTTCCATGTTTGTCATTTTTTTGACATTGAAACAAACAGAAAAGTCAAAGTGTAGACTCAGATTGTCAATACACAATGTAAAACAAATGCAAGTGCAATTCATTACGTGACTCGTCTCGTTTATTTTGAAGTCACAAAAGTCAGAGACCACCCTTCATTTATCTCCTTTCCAGGCAAAATGGCCAGTAAGTTTTCAGGTTCAGGGGAAAAAAGTAGAAAACATGTCATAGAAACTCACAGAGAAGCCTCAACAACTAAATATAATATCTATTTTTTTCAGTGTTTAGCCTGTGCACTTTGCCTTTATAACAGCTTCCACTCTGGGTGAGAGACTCGCTTTCAGCTTTTCAAAAAAAAAAAGAAATCTGCAGGGATATTTTTCCACACCTCCAAAGTTCAGTCTTAGAAGCTGGTTGAACATTTTCTGAAGTAACCAAACACATTCAGTGGTGTTGAGGTCTGGACTCTAGGGTGGTCAGTCCATTGTTCAGCTTCTTTGTTTGATGTGTCCGTCTCCTTTTCTCAGTGAGGTTCTTCTTGAACAGCTACACATCCTTTCAGACCCATAGCGCTGAGTCGTCTTCTCACAGTGGAAGGATGGACAGAAACACCTGTGGATGTTTTCAGATCTGAAGCAGCTTGATTTTCTCCTCTCTCTCAGAGATGAAAGCTTTAAGTGCTGTTGATCTGATGGGGTAGTCTGGTGGTCTACCAGGTCTGTTCTTAGGAGTCTCATTTTCTCTGTAGCTTTTAATATTTTTTTTCCTCCAGTTTTGAAAACTCTTTTTTTTTTATTTTCTTTGACTTTTGCCCAAGTAGCTTGTACATAATGGCCATTTTGACTGGAAATCAAACAAATGATGTAGTGGTCTTTGACCTTTGCACAGTACTGTATGCATTTACATTTAAATGGTTATGTAAATTGTATGTATAAAAGATTTAGAATTATTAATTGTAAGCTTCTAAGGCTTAAAGAGAACTCAGATTGAACCCAGTCTTTAGTATCATGTTCTCCCTTCATTCACTGCTTAACCCTCTTTCTCCAGTCCTCAGTTATTACAACCAAGGCTGCACTGAAATCCTTTCACCCCAGACCTTTTCATTGACCGCAGTCCTCCTCATACCCAAAAGGTCATGAAATAAATAATACCTTTGATAGCGAATATGTGAATGCACAGGGGAGGAAGTGTGCAGGGCTTAAAACTGATAATTGTGTTCATTATTCATATAATCCTCCTTAAGACTGTCTGCTTCGCTTTCTTTCTTTTCATGTCATATCTCTGACAGAGCTCGCTGGCGAAGATGTGATTAGAGAGCCTGACCGAGCATAATAATTACATGGTGAAATAGGGACGCTCTGAGGCTGGACGTTCTGAACGAGGAGAAAGAGAGGCCCATTTGGAGGACAGCAGCTGAACTTCTGCAGAGCAGCACTGAGCCTGGGCCTTCTGTCGGGGACCAGCTGGAGGAAAGAAGGGCTCTAAAGCTACTCCCACAGGAGCGCGGCTCAATACTGCTCTGTGCACGGTGGAAATTTAGCGTTGAATATTTAAGCCGTGCTTTAACGCTGCACAGCTGATCGCAAAATGAGAACTGCGGTCATCTACGAAAGAGCAGAGGTTATCTGCTTGTTAACCGTTTGCTTTAGCAGTTACTATAGTAGAGCATGTTTTCCCTTTTTTAGAACAATAAAGAAGACATTAAAACCATAAAACACAGGTGGAGTTATATAGTGACCAGAAGAGTCAAGCAAATCAAAACCATCTATTTTGCATTCTCTAAAGCGGCTTCATGAGGATGCTGGGATGCTTTTCTATCAGGCAGGAATAACCTCCATATACATCACTGCTGTCACATCTAAACCTCATTAAAGCAATAAGCCACAACAAGCGCCATAGTATTTACTCACAAGTTATCACTGCAGTAATAATACTAATAATGCTAATTTTCTCTATGCAGTTTCTTGTGTTATGTTGGTAGCAAGCTAATGGTTGTTTGGCCACACTGGGCTCTAAGCAGATCTACCAAAAGCACAGATATCTGAAGTGTGTAAGACATTAAACTAACACATCTCTTACTGTTCAGACTATTTCGAACAAACCACAGAGCTGTTCTAATTTCTAGCTACTGCAGAACAATGTACAGGCAGTAATGCTGACTGAACTGAATCCATGCCATGTCTTGTCTTTGATGCCAGAGCATCCTCTCAACATGGGTAAACAAAATGTATGTCAATCAAAGTCAAAAATGACTGGTTATGGGGAGAAGTCAGGCTTATTCAAATTTCAGCTGCATCATTAAGTATATCAGTTTATTAAAATGTTATATACTTATTAAAATATCACCAAAATCATGATTTTCATGATTTATGATGCTAAAATTTGTCCAATTTGGCAGACACTGCCATCTGACCATACTGTTCAAACTGTTAACGCATTCAGCCAGTCAGATTTTAGGGTTCGTTTTAGAAAACTTAAAAAAACTTAAACGTTAGCTACCCTTCCCATTTTATGTGTTTCATGATCAGTGGTTACTGCCCAATCTGACAGTACTGTTTAACTGTTGTGAGGCGGTCATAAGTGTTCATATATCAAGTGTTAACACACTCAGCCAATCAGATTTTAGGGTTCGTTTTAGAAAATGCCAGCTACCCTTGACATTTTGTGTGTTTCCTGATCAGTGGTCTAATAGAATCAGTGCAAAATCACCTGTGATTAATTCTTGTTATAGTGCTATATCACTGCTGTCAGAACAAAACCCTGTATCTCCATTTTTGCTGTTTTTCAGTTTTTGACAATTTGAAAATGTCTGCTGGCCTGTACATTGTGTGTAAATATCAGGATGAATGAACCCATAGAAATGGCCTAAAATTACTTGGAAAAACATCTGGTTCCATTGACTTACATTAAAAGTAAAGTATGTTTTTTCCTTCTCCTGTAAAGTTACCATTTTGGAGATACAAGGTTTTGTTCCGAGGTGTTAAATATGGTAAAGGTTAAGAAGTTTCTTTCTTTCTTCTCCAATAAAGGTTTTAGATACACTGTTTTGTTATGACAGCACTTGTTGGAGGCCACGTTCCCAAACTTATGACTGCAGACACGCATGTAATGTCTTCCAAACACAATCTACTTTCCACAGAGAACCTGCACATGGTCCTACCACTTGAATTACATCCAGTAATAACAGACGACTCCGTGGTTCAGTGATGTGGCCGTGTGGTCTGCGGAGCAAGATTTAATTATATTTGGTCTGGATATTGACTTCCTCCGTGCACACTGTTGACACAGCTGATCAGTAAGTGTCTCAGCTGTGCCTCAGCAGCCCAGGCTCAGTGTTAGAGCCTCAGGCTGGAGCACTCTCACCCAGCCTGGGGGTCTATTACATAATGAGGAGACTGCTGGGCTGGGCAGATCTCCCATTCATCTGCCCTCTAATCTGCCTGTTGCTTCTCCCTGCACAGCTGGGGGTATGAACGGGGGACTCGTCTGCTGGGGGTTTGGGGGTTCGTGTGTGTTCCTCTTCATTGCTTTTAATGAAGGCTGGGGTCACGGCTGAGTCTCCAGAGAGACCATACCTGTTTAGCAACTGCCCCGCCCCCTCCTTACATGCCCGAGACTTGATGTGCATCTGTGCTCATCACACACGCTTGTGCACTGCCTGTCAAAGGTTTGGGAACACCTAGCTTTTCAAAATGCTGTTAATACAAATGAGCATGTTTCATTTGTTGGTTTGGAGTAACTTACTGCTCATACAGTAGATTTTTAGGGGAAAAAATCCTAAAAATGTGCTGTTTACATTACACAAACACTTCATGATGAATGGTTCAGCAGAAGTGGTCCAAAATTAAAATATTGTTCGATTAATATAAAGTTGTGAATGTTTTTCCCTTTTCCTATAAAGTTTCCATTTTAAAGATATGAGGGCTGTTATGATAGTGACGAGATTAATGACTGAAAAGGTTTATTTTGAGAACAAAGACATGCAGTGTCACTGATGTGAAGCACGAAAAACTTCTTGAGTGCTAATAGCTCCCCCTTGTGGAGAATCTTCCGCCTGCTAAATGTGAGTTACAAGCCGAGTCCATGAGGAACTTTGCAATTAAAAACAATATCAACAGACGCCAATAACAGTGACAGAGGTCTACGACCTGACCTGAGCACAACAGGGCCAGACAGAATATAAGATTTGGGCTCAGGCTTAGGTTTCTGTTTTCTAATGGGTGATTTTTTTTTATGTGTTAGATTTGAAATATAACAGTACATCAGTCACAGTCACACCAAGGATGATGAGAGGGAAGTGTTAGGTTGGTGGAAAACCCACAGCAGATCTCTCCCTATGTTTTCCTTATGCACTTGAGCGCAGCATGGCTAACAGTTGATCAGAGAGAGGAAGAGTGGATGCTGTTCTCTGCCAGTGTGCACTTCTACAAAAGTATAATGGTAATACATGCATATAATACACCTTTAGTGCATCCCAGTTTGACCTTTTCTGTTGCTCAACTCAAGCCCTTAGCAACAAAGCAAGCTCATAAAAGAGGTGACTGAAGTCTGAAGTATACTATAA